ATAGAAAATTGCAAATTTTATGTAATTTATAAATATTGTTATGTATATATGTTTTTATTTGATAATTTAATTAGTAATTTTGTATAAGAACGTGGTCTGTAAATAAAATAATGTAAAAAGTATCATGATTAACATGATTACTCATGCCTTTATATTAATCAAAACAAATAGTTAACTAGACAAATTTTCTCTCATCTATTAATGAACCAACAAACATCAACAAGGATGTGAATAGTAGATGAATTTGTAGTACCTACCAAACGACTTTTTTATGCTCACCTAAAAAATATTTTTACTTAACCATGTTTTAATATATTTTCTACTTAAAAACAATAATTGATACAATTTGTCAACTGCTAGTAAAAACATTGTTTAATATCAATATAGCTCATCAATTTTATTTTTGTTAAATCCTAGAAATTACTATGACTATAAACGACTCTTTTTAATAATAATATTGATAAACCACAAATAAATTAAGTTTTTTAGTTAACCGTATATAATATGATAGCTTCTTGTTTATGCCTGTCTTTTTAAATATTGATCATATTTATTTTTGTTTTAGGTGGACAGTATGATTTTGATCTTTTAGTAATAGGTGGAGCATCTGGTGGTTTAGCTTGTGCTAAAGAAGCTTCAAGTTTTGGAAAACAAGTCGTAGTCATAGATTTTGTTATTCCGTCTGAAAAAGGGTACTTGGGGAATAGGTGGTACTTGTGTCAACGTAGGTTGTACCTATACCTAGCAATTACAATATCTTTTGCTGTTATATTCTTCTTTCTTTTCCATTTTTTATCTTTGCGACAACAGTATCTTCAAACACGCAGTGTTCATTAACATCCTCAATTTTTCTATAAATGTTTTAAAATTTGAATAATATTATAGTTTTTAATATTATAAGAATATTAATTAAGATTTAAATACTTGTCTTTTAATTATTGTAAATGTATAGCCCAGTTAACCGATTTGATATGTTCTTTTAAAGCTTCTGTTAATGATATCCAATTGAATGAAATTGGATCCGGTATGTTCCATCCGTAACTCCGGTCTCCGAGCTTCCTAATTTAACAAAAATTAAGTAATTAATAGTMATAAGAGTATAAAAATATACACTTTAAATATGTTTTTTATCATACTTGAATTGATTCGCCTAACAATGRTGCTTGATGCATCAGTTTCTTAGGTATACAACCTACGTTGACACAAGTACCACCTATTCCCCAAGAGGTACCTTTTTCAGAAACTGATGCATCAAGCATCATTGTTGGGTCATTAACAATTCAAGTATGATAAAAAACATATTTAAAGTGTATATTTTTATACTCTTATTACTATTAATTACTTAATTTTTGTTAAATTAGGAAGCTCGGAACTACGGATTTAACATACCGGATCCAATTTCATTCAATTGGAAATCTTTAACAGAAGCTGTAAAAGAACATATCCAATCGGTTAACTGGGCTATACATTTACAATTAGAAGACAAGTATTTAAATCTTAATTAATATTCTTATAATATTAAAAACTAAAATATTCAAATACRCCATCTATTTCTTTAATAAGAGGATGTCAGCGCACTATTTGTTTTCTCTTTCTGGTTCGCTCGTAACATAGACAAAACGCGTATACGTAGAATCATTTTTTCTATATCTTGAAGTAATTTTAGAGTAAAACCTCCCATTACAAAAAAGATAGAAAATAATATTTTTAAGGGAATGACATATCGATTTGTCTAAATATTGTCTCTTAATAATTTAAACATTATTTAAATGTATAGTGTTTTTTTGTTTATTTTGAAAGTCAAATACAAAGTTAAATATCAATAAAATATAAAATCGATATGTCATTCCCTCAAAAATATTATTCTTTATCTTTTTTGTAATGAAAGGTTTTACTCTAAAATTACTTAAAGACATAGAAAAAATGATTCTTTGTAAATGCGTTTTGTCTATGTTACGCGTGGGTTAGAGAGAGAAAACAAATAGTGSKCTGACATCCTCTTAATTGTCGATAACAATAAAAATTTTATTTTTCTTGGTGGTTGAATCGTAGCGAAACGAGGAGGCACTTCACATTTGCGGGCACTACTTCCCCTCGTATCCACATCATTTATTTAGAACAAAACAAATAATATTCTACAATGAATAAAGGGCTCTATCTCTCTAAGCTTTGCCTTCAGCGCACATTTTGCTTAACTTATAATTAAATAGCCTTTCGCGTTACCAAATCCCAGTTGCTCGATTAAATGTTGATAATAATACCATTTCAATTATAATAACTTTCAACCCTTTTAATCTTTTAATGATAATAATTTTGTGTTATGATGTTCAGGTGTTCCATTTAATGTTATTGGATTTTGTGGTTTCCAGAAGTTTTAAATATA